TACTTTATTATACTTTAGATAGTAATTTACTTTGTAGCATATGTAAGCTTTTCCTTAATAAAATGATAGGCAAGATCGTCAAACAAAAAAAAAAAATTAAAATAATATTGTTAAACATTATAACTACAAATTGACATATGATACTTCAATTTTACTTCATCATATTCTTGAATTGGTATAAAATTTTCTATAATTTCTGTATATAGTGAATTAGCATTATTTATACTATTACTATGTCTTTCTGTAATATTAACATAATTCATTTTATTTATATTATCATAATAAATTTTATTATTATAATAATTTTTATTATCATTATAATTTTTATTATCATAATAATTTTGTTTATTGAATGTTTTATTATTTTGGCTAAGTGAAGAAGTTAAAATAGATCGAATTGATCTTGATGAGGAAGCAGAGTATATAGGTTGTGAATTATTCTTTTCAGACTGTATAGGTTGTGAATTATTCTTTCTAGAGAGTATAGGTTGTGAATTATTCTTTTGATATTATTATCAGATTATCTAGATTAAAACCTTGTTACCTTTTATTTGATATTTTGGACAAAAGCACTTAGGTATTTATTTATAAAGTTCTAAGAAAATATATATATATAATATAGGTTTATAAATATTTAGTTTACTTTAGGTTTGTATTTTCAAACTTGTCACGCTTATTCATAACAATTTACTTTTAATCTTCTCTTTATTATCAACTTTCTCTACTGCTATAGCATCTCAAAAGATACATAAAATAACAATATTATTTCAAACAAAATTTATTTAAGTAGAATTTTGATCATGCACTGATCGAACCCTTATTTATTTATTTCTCTATTATGCAGTGTTACACTACTGATATATTTAAATAAAATTCTAATGCTAACTTGAACACAATTACTTCTGAACTATATGACCCTTGTACTAAGTATTCTACTGGTTTTTTATTATTATTTTAAATATTTTTTATTCGTTTTTAAAGTATTTATATATTTTAATTTGATAGTAAATACAAGGATTCTTTAATAGTATTTCAATGGTTTTTTCAATTATGATTATTTTTAGAAAACCTTAGGAAATTTTACAAGTTTTATATTATTCTTTTAAATATTTTTCTATTTGTTTTTAAAATATTTTTTATAAATCTTTATATTTTAATTTGATAGTAAATATAATGGTTCTTTAATAGTATTTAAATAGTTTTTTCAATTATGATTACTTTTAGAAAACTTTAGAAATAACTTATAATTCTTTATAATAATTTTTTAATATAATACTATTAAAAAAGGTTTACAGTTCTACCTGTGATACTCATTGTTAAATCAGAATTTTACAATAAATTAAAGAAACTACAATTTCCACCATGTTAATTTGCTATTTCCACCATACGGCCGGAATTAGAATTAGGGTTAGTGTGAATCGCATTTTGTAGCGTTAGTCATTGTTGTTATTTTATATGATTATCATGGTGGAAATAGTAATTCCCTAAATTATGATGAATAATACAATTGAGTTGTTCATTTGTGGAATTAGTAGTGTTTCGATCCTATTACTGACAGACCATTCGGATTATATTAAATCCGGATTGAATCCGTCTCAGATTATATATTAAAGCTAACTTTTGGGCGTATCCTTAGGTCCGTTATTTAAGTTCTTTGACCAATCCGAGTAAACATCTCTGATTTGGATAGTTGAATTTATCTAGATTTAAGGATCAATTCAGATCTCGAATTACGGATCGAAACACTAGGAATTAGAATTAAGGCGAAATAATGATCACATAAACCATGTCAATTACCAGGGAGTGAGATAAAATTCGACTACATATTCGCAATGAATTAATGTTAAATAATCTACCCAAAAATAAAATTTACGTTAACCAGGTGGTGAATATAAAGCTCGGCTACAGATATTTATTTTTTAAATCAAAATTAAAAATGCTAAATAATACTTTAAATATTATATAAATAATTATGCCTACCAGAGAGTCCGATTAAATCAGAGCTTTATAACGTTTCAAATAATCATATAAATTACTGAGTAGGCTTATCATGTATGTTCATTTTGTTAAATTATCAATTCTTGATTATTGCTGAATGATACTTTAAAATAACAATATTTAAATTAATATCATACATCAGCTAATAGAAAGTGAGTATATGTTTATTTTAGTGATGGGAAAAATGCGCATTTTATAATAACATGCGCATGAATGCGCATGATACCGCATGATATAAATTCTCTTTTTTCTGTTTCATTTCGGAAAAATTCGTTATGTTTCTCGAATTTCGATCGCGACCTTGCTCGTCTTTGAGGTTCATTCATTTTCTTTTCGGAAATTTTCGTAATTTTTGAAATTCCTATCCTCTAATTCCGCCCGGCATTATGCTCTCTGGCCTAAATTACGCAGCCTAACCAAACATATATAAATTCTTGATGGGCAAAAATGCGCATGAATGCGCATGTTTCAGGTATCATGCGCACGCATGATACCCATCTCTAGTTTATTTATCAAATCAAAATTTTATTAAATAATAATATTGGATAGTATCTTACCAGTTAAATTATTACAAATGAATAATCTGAATGTAGGTGATCTTTATAAATTTGAATAAGTGAATTAATAAAATTAAATTGACAGTGAAATAATTTGAGTATTGCTCATTCTGCTAAATTTATAAATACTGCAATACAATGTTTAAAAACCTAAATAAAGGTATTATCGTCCTATTTTTTTCTGATAAGATGATATAAAACATTCAAGTGCTACCAGTGTGTGAAATTCAAATTTAATTTTATGTTTTTACAAGAACATCTATATAATAGATTTTGAAATTTTTTATGTTCTCACATATGTGTAACCTAAAATTTTTATATTCTCAGAGAAACATCGAGAACATCGAATTTCACCACAATATAAGTTCTTTTTAGATTAATTTATATCAGATTAAATAAAGCTTTAAATTAATTGTTGTTAAAGTAATATTAATTGATTTTAACCTAAAGATTTCAACTGCCTAAAATTTTCTTAATAGTTTAGCTGTGCTAATGTTTAATTTAGCAAGCACTCTCGCTAACGATCAACATGATTTGGTCCAGAACAATGGGTCTACTATGAAGCCCAACATTCATTTCACAAGTTTATCTGTAGCCATACTGAAAATATTTATACAGTATCGTTTTTTTTTATACTATGAAAATCCCGTTTGAATAAGTAACTTCAAGCAGTGTAACCTTAAGTGGCTGAAATGCAGGGCACGGCATGTTAAATAATGTCAAATATATGTACAGTACGTACTGTACTAATATCTTCTCTGATATTAAACGAAATGAGCTTTAAATTGATAGATGTTGAGAATGAATTTGAATTAGAAAGGGTGGAAAAAATTGATTCTGGAGCAACTGGCAAAGTATTTAAGTACTATTCAAAAAAACATAGAAAATTTTATGCTTTCAAGGAGCCACATAAAGATATCAATAGTGAAGATGTTATAAATGAAGTATGAATCATTTTATGCCTTCAAAATATTTTGAATTATAACTACTGATTAAATTTATTAAAAGATTCAGAACATGATAAACATTACAAAACATGAAAATATAATCGAGTTCTTCGGAATTATTTCTGGCATGTTAATTTTATATATTGGATAAATAAATTTTATTCAATCAGTTATTAATCTAACATAAATTAGACCCTCTATCGAAGGAGCCCGGCATGCTTCTTCAATTCGCAAATGATGGAAATCTTGAAACTTATTTGGAAAAAAACTTTAATAAATTGAAGTGGTCAAATAAAATTAGAATGGCAAAAGAAATCGCTGAAGGGGTTAAACATTTGCATAATCATCAAATTGCGCATCGGGATCTTGTAAGGGTTTTTATTATTTCATTCATTTTGTTGCCACTTATTAATAGGGATGTTTTGTTCATAAAATTTATTTTTAAATAGCACCATAAGAATATATTAGTACATGATGGTAGAATGATGATCACAGATTTCGATTTGTCTAAATTTGTAACAGACACGAAAATAACCGTTTCACATCAACGTCCAGACGGGTTTCCAGCCTACCGGGACCCAAAATATCTCAAAGATTATAAATTTAAGCGAGGAATGCCATCAGATATTTATAGTCTTGGTGTCCTTTTTTGGGAGCTGTCAAGTGGCAAACCTCCTTTTGAAGATAAAGAGGATGATCATATTAAAAACCTTGTTATTGGAGGCAAGCGAGAAACTCCAGTTCCTGGAACTCCAAATGGCTTTAAAAGCATTTATATTAAAGCTTGGGATCAAAATCCAGAACAACGTCCTACCATTGAGCAAATCATATTTGATTTAAATGAGATTAACGAGTGAGTAAACAGTATTGGAAATTTTTTTAAAGCAGAAATATATTTTTTAAAACCATTCTATTTATTTTATTTACTTATATTAGAATGTAAGTAATATAGAACCAGAAATAATTAATTCAATAAAAAAAAATAACTGATAACATTAACGTTAACCATTCTATTTATTTTATTTACTTATATTAGAATGTAAGTAATATAGAACCAGAAATATTTAATTCAATAAAAAAAAATAACTGATAACATTAACGTTAACCATTCTATTTATTTTATTTACTTATATTAGTCTGTAAGTAATATAG